TTGCATTGTTTCCTTCCACATCAATCACTTGTCCTTTTCCTGTTGGTTTTTGAATGACTGGTGGTGGTTGTGTTATTTGGGATTTGGAAGGAATTTGTAATTCTGCATCTGCTGGTTTTATTTCTTCTTTGGTTGTGGGGGTTGAGATTTCTTTTCAACAAAAAATTGGAATTGGCAGCTTGTCAACTATGACAGGTCTTGCTGATTATTACAAAACTCTTCTTGGAATTGATTTGAATCAATTTGTGGGTTATGAAATTGTAGAAATTGATGATTCCCCAGCTACCTCTTACATGATTGATTGGAGTGATAAGAATTGTGGTGGATACAAGGATTTAGGAGCTAGATTTAATATGGGACTAGGTCTGTTTGTCTCACGAGCTGCCAATAGAGTTGCAGTTCCAGACAACTCAACCATCAAGTATAAATTGGAAAAGGATGGTGATGTCAAAGTATTGGAAATTCCATTTGTTGGCACATCGAGTGTGAAATATTTGAATGACAGCAAATTTTATGAAAGTTGTTTGAGAGTTGATTCTGCAGCTGATGTGTTGAAATCTCAAGGAATTCCAACAAGAAAGACGCATCTCTATAATGTAGATCCACATTTTGAAAAGAGAGAACTTCCACTCAAGTCAACCGTGCAAGGAACTTTTTCAGTGAACAATATTTTGAATGGCGACATGATCAAATATTACGAATTGACATCCAATCAAGACAGCTCCATATTAATTGGTGTAATTGTCATTGAAATCTTTTCTCCAAAATCCATTCAACAATTTTCCAGAGATTTCCAAACCAGTTTATATTTGGCCAAGCTCCATAAGGCAAAGAAGATTATTCTCGATGTTACCAATAATGGAGGAGGATATATTTGCTTGGGATATGCCTTCTCAAGATATTTCTTCCCAAAGCAATTCTCCAATCAGTACGAGAGCTTATTTGCAAGAACTGACATGATAGCTAGTGAATTGGGTAAAGAGCTAGCTCAAAAAGGAAGTGAATCTCCACAACTTGACACCATTTGGATGCCACATTTTTGGAGAGATGATTCAGGAAAGGTCTATAATGATGACTCCTGGTTCACAAATCAACATACCTTCTCTAGAGGAGGTGTCGATCATGCCTACACTTCAATTATCAAAGATAATGGATGCAGTGAAATGTTTGATGATTTCATTTTCACTGGTGACGATTTATTGGACTATAGTTCAGATGATTTGATTATTCTTTCGAATGGTAGATGTGCTAGTACATGTGCCATGTTCACATTCCAACTTCAACAATTTAAAAAAGCTAAAACAGTCGTTGTTGGTGGTGTTCACAATACTCAACAACAAATTGGTCAACTGCCAGGAGGTCAAGTTTGTGAACAACCAAATTTGGTATTGAATATTGAGGAGTATAACATGACTCAAAGTGAACATGCTCCTAAACTCTTACCAACAACTTCTAGATTGAGATTTGCCATCAGAGAAGCATATGCTTGGGCAGATTCTCAACTAAACTCGTTGGAATTTTCATTTCTCCCAAGTGATTTCAGATTAGATTATTCGAAAGAAAGTGCAATGGATCCAACCAAAGTATGGATTGATACTTTACAATTCTTTGACAAGTGTGCTCCATGGCAAACTCAAACATGTCAAATTACAAATGGAATTGGAATGAAGAGTTGCAATTCTGGAACTTACTCATCAGAATGTAAATTAATTTCTTGTAATGATGGATTTGGAATTGCAAATGGAAATGATTTCTGTACTCCTTGTCCATTAGGAACCTTTACAAAAGGAACTGTTTGTGAGCAATGCACAAACAAACCAGTCAACTCACATTATCTCAATAATACTCAACAAATCTGTGAATATCAATGCGATTTAGGATTTGAGATTGATAATACTGGAACTAAATGTGTGGAAAGTGAATACGAATCCGTTCAAAAACCAATTCTTTCATTCTTGGTTGCCTTGTGTGTAATTGCCATAATTGTTGCATTCCTTTCCATTGTTGCAAATTCAGTTCTTGGATTCAAACTCTATCAAACACGTAAAGAAAATCAACAAGAAACCATGCAATTAATGTAAAAATCTAATTTCCTCACTTTACAAAATTGTTTAATAATTAAACTTTTTAAATATTTCCAAAAAAGGGCTTTTTCAAAATCAAAAAAAAATATCCAACAAGTATCTATTGATTTTTCATCATCCATTGATTATTTCAACCCTCACTAAATCCGTGAGAGAAATCCCATTGTAAATATTTAAATACAACAAACCCGAGAAGCGAATTTTAATTTATTGGAAAAATTGCGGAAAATGATCAAGTCGTTAAATTCTGCATTAATTTATTACCTGATGATTGGTTGTTTGTTGGTTTTAATGTTAGGAACAATTCAAGATCAGCAGCAGCAACAGGGTTTTGTTTTTGGATTTTCTGTAAATATTCAAAAAGTTTCATCACAAGCAATTAATAAGAAAACATTCGTCGGATTGCATGCAAGCAATAATGGGAATGAAAGAGCTGTTAGTAATAGTGGATCTGCTGGATTGCTTGGAGGATTGTATCCATCAAACTTTTATCAACATCCAATGATTGGATATGATTGTTTTTATGGATATACCTTTCCGAATTGTACATGCACACAGCATAGTCCACAAAAAACAGCAACAAATAAGAGGAATGATGATTGCTATGGACCTAAATGTATGTTAGTGAAGAGTGATTCGAGGGCCACAACAGGAAATTTCACATGTGGTGTCAAGGAGAGTGATTCGGGAAATAATGCAGCCATTGTGGATTGTAGTCATAATGCAAATCCAAATACTGATAATGCTTTCTACTTTTCTGAATGCAATCCATACATTCCAAAACCTCACCACAACAGGTTCCTCAATACAACCTCAATTTTGAATTTGTTCGATCATGAATTCAGATTTGAGAGTATTGATGAAAGCAAATCCAAGACAATTGTTAAATGTCCTTTGAAGAGAACTCCAGGTTCGTTCCTTAAAGGTTATGCTGTTCAAGTGGATGTGCATGTTCATGAAGTGAGAGATGGATTCAATGATTTTGTTTGGGTTACTCATGTTTTTTCGTGTAATAGCACTGCTATTGAACAACAAGCACCTTTGGGTGATTCAGGCTTTTTACAACTTGTTCTTGTGAAAAATAAATAGTGAGATAGATTTTATTTACATCTTTGCCAATTCATCCAACAAGTCCTTAACCAAAACAACCTTTTCAGTGGCATTGGTTTCAGTTTGCAAAGCAATCTTGAAAGCATAGAGTTGATATTCAGAGTCAGCATCGAACAACATATAGACATGTCTGTTGTCAGACTTTCCATCCTCAAGTTCAATTTCCTTCTTTCCTTCCTTCTTAGCCTTTTCCATAAACTTTTGGAATTCATCATAAACATATGAGTATGTGTATCCATTTGATGACTTGAGTTGTAATTGACGATTTTCACGATCCAAATAAACAGCTAAATGGCTTCTTTCCAAAGTATCAACATTATCACAAGTAACAAATCTCAATTTGGTGGCATCAAACTTGTTATAACTGGCATAATAGTCGTGAGTGTATAAATCTAATGGTTTGTTGGAATGTTCTACGAGAATATCCTTCTTCTTTCCAGTAGAGTCAGTAATTGTAACTCTAATAACCAATGGTTGTGGAAGAGATTGATGAGCACGAGCTCTAGAATTGAAATCTCTACCTGGTTGGCCAGTAACAACAATAGCACCACTGAAAACTAAGTTATCAGCTTGACCTGGTTCAAAGTTAGCAACTTGACCTTCAAAGAATTGGTATTGAGCACCATTCCATCCGTTATATTTAACACCCAATTTGATATTTTGCATTTCAACCCATTCATCGGCTTGATTCTTGTGAGCCATTTCAATCTTGACAAAGGACAAATTAGCATCTGACTTGTTAACAACAGTCAATGGAACATTGAAGAAATTGTTGAACTTTCCATCAGTTGCATAAGAGCTTTGAGAAGCTTCAATAAGTGAATTCAATGCAGCTTGTTCATCAGTGGCAACAAGCAAATTGAATTGAGAATCACCATGATCTTCATACTTCTTACAGTTAGGTCTTGGAACAATGGCCAAATCTTCACCCTTTTGTGGATTGGTTGTTTGCTTTTCAGTGAGATCCTTATAATATTCGAGTGGCTTTCCAGCAACTTGTGCAATTGGTTCAGTGCTTGGATTACCCAAAATCTTCCATGTACCAATAGAAAGAAAACCATCACCATCCTTTCTAATTCTCCAATATGGAGCAGAAATGCTTGGAACAACAAAGGTTGTTAATCCATCAGTCAATCCATTCAATTGCAAAACATTCTTCCAGTTAATTTCATCTTGAGAGTAGGCCAAATAAGAACCAGCCAAATAAGTTGAACCCCAACCAGATACCAACAATGGCTTGACAACAATACCAGTAACGGTATGTGGATGTTCAAATGTAGCTTGAACAAAAGGTCTAGAATTAGAATTAGTAGCAGCACCACTATTACCACTTTCATCTTGGAGTGATTCATAACTTTGTCCAATAGAATCAGAAGCGTATTGTGAACTCATTCTAACCTTGTATGACAAGGTAACAGAATCTTCAGAAACAGTGGTTGGAACAGGTGACAAGGTTGGAATATCTTCCAATGAAGCCAATTCAACAGCTGGACCATTTCTGGAAACCTTAACATCATCCCACTTCAATGGAACCATAAACATGGTTGGCTTTTCACTGTTTGAAAGTTTGATAGAGGCCAAAACATGCAAAGTATTCTTTTGAGCATTCTTGGTCAATACGAATGAAGTTGACATTAACCATTCAACACCTGAGAAAGTCTTGGTGGAAGTAACCTTAACATCATAATTAGCAGCAAAATCATCAGCAGAGTTTTGAGATCCCAAATCCAATGTAGCATATTCTCCAAAGTTATCATAGATATCCTTCTTTAAGGTTTCAGCAACATTAGTTAATTGATCTGGTGTGAAAAAGTATAACTTGGAAACAGTAACACCATTCATTAATCTAACATAGAGTTTACCATGTTGATGCAAACCAACAGTGATAGTCTTCTTATACTTGTCACCTTCATCAACGAGTTCCATAACGTGCAATGGTTCACTAGTATCCATCAATGGAAGTTGCTTTCTATTCAAAAGCTTTGGACTCATCAAGACAATAATATCATCCAAACGTTGATCCAAAGTATTAGATTGCAATACTTGACTCAAAAAGGCTGAATCATCAGTTGATTCAATTTCAAATTCTTGATCATTGTAAATAAAGGAAACAACAGAATCAAGTGTACTGACACTCTTTCCCAAATGCTTGGCCAATTGAACTTGAAGATCGGAACGGAAATTCTTCCATGTCAATTCATGAGGAGCATATTTCAAGTTAGTATAAACAAACTTTAATTGCACTTCTTCTTGTGGATCTTGATTTCTAGAAGGTGGATTAGAAAGTGATTTGTAATAAACTCTAATCTTGGTCACTGGAGCTTGTCTTGAGGTTGTCATCTTTTTTCGGGAGTGTGAGGAGGAAATTAGTGTGTAGTTTTTGTTTTGATCAAAAAAAGTTTATGCACGAGCAAGGCTTTCTAAACTTTTGTGATTTTTTTTTTAAGTTGTAAAAATTCAAATCGTTGGCGCAAATCTTTTTAAATCAGCGCCGTAATCAAGAGCTTAAAAAACAAGTTTGTTGTGCAGAAGAAAATTCGAGTTGAAAAATTTCTTGAATGTGAAAGAGATCAATTTTGAAAGTCTTTCCGAGGTAATTGATTGAATGTGGTGGAACGAGAATGAGATGACGGATTACAATGAGTGATGGCAATGTTCAGTGGAAGTTCGAAGCTGGTTGTTCGAATTTCTGCTCGGAATGGAAATTTTGATTGGAAGTTGTTTCGATTTGATTGCTTTGAATATTTGAAGCTGGTGGTTTGAATATTGAGGTGTTATTGTATTATTTGTGAATGTTCTTTATTTAACAGTTTACAATTAACAAACCGTAGTCTTTGATTTATTGTAAAGTATTTCAAAAAACTAACTGATTTTTGAGATCTTTGAAAAAAAATGTTTTCTGAACTTTCAGCAGTTGGCAAAATCATTCAGCAAGATCTTGTTGATGTTCAACAACATCATCACAAGCATAAACTTCTATTAGAAACCTTACGAAAACCAATTCATGACACAAAGAGTGAACAAGGAAAATTGCAATTCAACAGTTTACTGAGTGAGAAGAATTTATATTTGAAATTTATGGAACGATCCGAGAGAATTGATGAAATTAAAATCATCATCGGAACATCGGAACATGATGAAAAAAGTAAAATTAATCATCATCACATTCATCATCATCATCATGATGAGGAAAATAATGATCATCACTTCTTCCGAATGGCAAATATTGAAAAAGTTTCAGTTTTGGAGGATAAAATTCCAAAAACAAGTGATTATGAACCGTTATCTTGGGCTTGTTTTGGGAAATGCAAAAAATCAAGAATTGACTTTTTGAGTAGGATTACAAATCAAGAGGTTTTTCAAGCTATGAGATTGGAACAGGAATTTATGGGTGAAAATGTGTTTATTGGATTTTCGTAAGTAGATATTTGAGAAAATTGAGGAAATTAATTGAAAATGAAAGTGATTTTGGAGTTGATGATTCACAAGAGTTGGAACAGAGCAAGAATTTGTTGCATATTTGTTACAAGTCACATGTTCATCATGGCTTTTTATTGGTTATTGATACAGTGGACGTTTCAGAAAATTATTTATTGAATGAATTACCTTTGTGGGTGAAGGATTTAAGAAGTGTCATATCAGATTCCGTTCCAATCGTTCTGATTGGCAATAATGCTGATAAGAGAGACGCCTTATTATCAACTCAACATAAATTGGAAGATAGACTTCCTTTGAGTACAGAACAGGGAGAGAAACTAGCTGAAAAGTTGGGCTGTTTCACATATATAGAAATGGAAAAGGAATTGTCAATGGATAGTTTGAGACAATTACTTGTAAAAATTCATATCATTCATCAAGATTTGACAGTTCACAAATAAATAACTAGTTCAATAATTAATTATTCAAAAAAGAATTGCTTTATTAAACAGTATCCATTCCTTCTTCGACTGGAGATTTTGGAGTTTTAACACTTGATGCTCTTCTTTTAGTGGCTACATTCAAATCAACAGCTCGATCTAATTGAGCATTAGAACCAGCTTCTGCACCAACTTCAATGGTTCTTTCCTTTGTGGCCTCATCAATCTTTGACATTTGAGGTCTATGAATGGTGCTTGGTTTTCTTTGTCTAGCTTGTTTGGCTCTATTCAAATTCAAGTGAACAACAACCTTATTTTCTTCTGTTGTGACAGGATCTGAGGAGGAGGTATTTTCTGATTGAGCAGTAGTGGTGGTATCTGTTACAATAATTGGAGGAGTTGCTACAGAGAGAGGAGTGGTATTTTTGGAGTTGTCAATTGGTGTTTTTGGAGAGCTGAGAATAATGGTTGGTGTTGAAGTGACATTTTGTGCTTGTGGAGTAGTGACACTATCTGCTTGAACTCTTGGTGGAATAATGAGTGGAGTAGAAGAGGACCCTCCCATATCATCACTCTTTCTCTTAGCAATTGGTGTATTTGGTGTATGTTCAGGAAGTTTGTACGAAGCAGGTGGTGTGAAAGTTCCTGAAGAAACTGGCTTTGTAAATACAGATCTTGATCTCAAATGAGCTTTTGATGAAGATTCTTCACTATTATCAACTGGAAGCTTTTTTGATGAAGTAACAAATAATCCAGGTTGATTCTTTCCAATATCATCAACATTCTTGTCTTCCTCTGCAACTGGCGAAACCATAGACGAAACTTTTTTGTGTGGCATTCCTCCAGGTGGTTTCAATCCCATAATTGGTGGACCACCAGAATTTTCAGTAGATGCCAATACAGTAACATCATTACACCAGCCACCTTTGATTTTACTTGTTCTACAGTTTGGTGAGAATGAAATTTCCAAATTTGGATACTTCTTTTTGAGTGTTTGAGTAAATGAAATATATTCCCTCACTAGTAATGTAAGAGATTTGATTTTTGGATTATTAAACTTGATCTGGATATGATACGGAGTGCTGAGAATGTTAAATTCAGTAATTTCTGTAAATTTCAACTCGTGAGTCGAGTATTGAATAGTTTGTTTTTGTAAAGATATTTTACAATCGAAATCTAATCATTCCAAATCATTTTTGTATAAATATTGTATAATATTGTATAAATTCTTTACAAAGAATTACTTACAATCTTGACTTTCTACAATCAACACATTAAAATCAACAATTGATTTGCCCAACATTTGAGAAACTATTCCTTTTGGTGTAGAAGAACCAGTTCCTGCACTGTTTTGTTTCTCCTCGGTTGGTGTTGCAGATTCGTCAAGTTTCGGCATCTTTCCTTCCAAATATTTCTTATTCTTTTCATCTAGAGAAACCTTTTCCAATGGTTTAGATTGATGAATTAAATACAACTCCTTAATTAAATTATAAACCGAGGAAGCATATTCCATACTTTTACATTTCAAATCATGTTCAGTTTTAGAATCGTCTAATTTAATCGAAACTTTCTTCTTTACACAATTTAAACTTTGAATTTGTTTGTATTCTAAAGCAACTTTAGGTTTCTTACAAAGAATCCTATCTTTACAAATGTAAAGTGTTCCTTTAGAAAGAATTGATCCTTTAACATCATATTCGGCAATGATGATATCATCTACGGAGAATGACTTTCGAATAACAGAGTCGAAAGCATCGGGTTCTAAATGGTCGGCAGCAGAAACGTTCGATTGACGAAACTTTCTCATTTCTTCTTTGATTTTTTTTTAATAATTGATGACATGCGAATTTAATTACAGTTGCAAAGATATTCAAGAGCTGTCAACCATCATCTATTGACAAGCGAATCATAACAAGTAGGATCTAACTTTCAGCTTTAGTATTTCATTATCCACAACCACAAATAACATGTTCCAAATAATAATAAAAATCATAATTTTGCAAATAATTTCAAAAACTTGATCGTTGCTTTTCCCGCTCAAAAAAACAATTAAAAATTAAAATCAAAATTTTTTATATAAAAAAAATACAGAAAATGGTGTAGAGGCTTTTTTTCTCTGCAATTATTGGTCGGAGGCTGTGCTTGTTGGTTGAACATTGGCAGCAGCTTGTTGACCAGAGTTTGGATAGGACCCTTGTTGTGGATAGTAGTTATATGGATAGGTTGAGGCGCCACCTTGAGGATAACCTTGTTGTGAAGGATAGCCATAACCTTGTTGTTGTGGGTATCCGTATCCTTGTTGTGAAGGATAACCTTGTTGTGGGTATTGTTGTTGTTGAGGATAGCTACCACCTTGGGAAGGATATTGCTGACCATAGTTATATGGATAGGTAGAACCTTGTTGTGGATATTGTTGTTGTTGGTTATAGTATGGATAAGAACCTCCTTGTTGAGTTGGATATTGTTGTTGTTGTGCAGGATAGGTAGAACCTTGAGGATAACCTTGTTGAGTTGGATATTGTTGTTGTTGGGTTGGATACTGTTGTTGTGCAGGATAGTTTGAACCTTGTGGGTATCCTTGTTGCTGAGTGGCTGGATATTGAGTTGGATATTGTTGTTGTGAAGGGTAACTTGAACTTGGATAGTATTGTTGTTGTGGATATTGTTGTTGATTTGGATACTGTTGTTGTTGTTGACCATATTGAGGAGCAGACAAGAATTGTTGTTGACTTGGTTGACCTGGTTGACCTGGTTGTTGACCTTGTTGTGGCTGTTGACCTGGTTGACCTGGTTGTCCTCCTTGTTGTTGTTGGCCATTGTTATTATTGTTATTTGATTCTTGGTAATTTCCTCTAAAGCTAGCAAGGGCTGCTTCAATTTGTGAGGATGTGGATTGATACTTCTTCCAATCCTTAGCTTGCAAATCAGTGATAAGTTCAGTGGAAAGTGGAACAAGTTTCTCCTTAACAATCTTGAAATCTTCTGGTTGACCTTCAAAACCACCCTTTTCTTCATTTTGCAATTGCATAATATTGGATTGAATGGTTCTGGAGGCGCTGTCAATCAAACTACAATCTTTGAATCCATTATCACCCCAACAAAAGCTTCCAAAACTATTAACCATATTCAATTGCATTTTAATGTTACTGACTGCACTGGATACTCTTGATTTTGGAGTATTTTGTTGTTGTTGTTGTTGTTGGCCTTGACCTTGACCTTGACCTTGTTGTGGTTGTTGCCCTGGCATTTGTTGTTGAGGATAGCCAGCTCCTGGATATTGACCAGGTTGCTGTTGTTGGAGTGGATTTGTTTGGAATGGTCTTCCATTTACGACTTGGTATTGTGCCACTACTAGTAATGAAATATTTAGTAGCAAAACTGTTAGAACTATTAGTTTCATTTTCTTTTTGATGATTCAATAGGATGATCAGGAGAATCCACTATTAAGATCGCAACTTTCTTTAACCACTTTTGGAAAGACAATTGATAAAAAACTTTTTTATTTTTGATATATTGTACATTTGGAGACTAATGGCATGTCTTGCTATTTACTAAAAAAGTTGCTTGTTTTGCTAGATAGCTTTGGTCAAGGTTCTTGAAAGGAATTAGTGCTTTACATTCACTATCTTCTAATTTGGAAAGAGCCTGAATAACCTTATGTACATGGGAATTTGTGAGTCTGTCACCACTTCCTGGGAATTCATAATCTGATTTGAAGAGAGTTGCCAATCTCAATAACATTTCATTTTCCTCTTTCGTATTTCTCTCGTTCAGTATTTGCTTCCATTTCTGATAAGTTACATTTTGCATTGGCTCCTTTTTCAATAATTTAGCTTCTGTTGTTGCTGCTATGGAGAGTAAATCGTCAATGTGAATGACGAATTTATCTAGATTTGCCAACTCGAATATGAAATAGTTTGGATTTTCGTGAAGATCTGTTACGAATGCATTCTCATTCTGTGTCAACTGTACAATGACTCTTGAAATAATATCTACTGGGACAATGTTTAGAGTTCTGTTCGTCTTTGGGAAGCAATTCATTTCAAAACATCCCATGACTAATCTATTGACCCAATCTATTAAATTAGAAACTCCATTGACAGTATCACTTCCAATCATACCAGGTCTGAAAATGGCTCCTGGATATCCCAATAATCTTGCTTGTTGAATATATTGTTCGGCAACAAACTTGGTGCTACTGTATCCATTAGCTCTTTCAATAATTGGTTTGAGTTGCCTCATGACTTGATCCATGTGATTGTTAATTAAATCCGTAATATCTTTCTTATTGCTAATTCCAGATGTACTGGTTGGTATTCCAAAGAGTGATAATCCAGATTGCAATACTCCAACTGTAGAGACGAAAACTATTGGGGCTAAAGTGGAATCTCCACTTTGAATATTCAATTTAGATGATAAGCAAGCCAATTTCAATAATGAAAGAGTAGATCCAGTATTTGAGGAAAATAATTGAGGATATGACATGACAGAGTTGACATACGCTCCGTTGTGATAAATAATATCAATATTTTCTGCCAGTTTCTTGAATTCTTCCTCAGTGAGTCCTAAATTATCATCTCCTAAATTACCCTTGACAACTGAAATTCTCTTTTCATACTTGTCATTCCAAAGTTTGAATTCCACAAGGTTTTCTTTCACTCTCATGAAAACGTCATCTTGATGATTCTTTTCTCTGACTATACAATAGACTTTGACATTTTCTTCAGCTTTCTCTAATGCTTCCAATAAATCTCTCAATATAAATGCTCCTAGGAATCCTGTTGAACCTGTCAATAGAATACCCTTCTTCAAATCGGCTATCTTTTTAAATTGCGTATTTCCTCTTGATGTGAGGTCTATAATGTCATTCAACACATCTTCAGGAAGGAGAATATCCTTCTTCCAATCATGGGATGAATTGACTGTGGCAACATCATCATGTTGGTTTTTGGTGACAAAATCTGAAACTCTACTCACTACGCTATCCACATTTCTGTCAGTTTGAGAAAATATCAGCGAGAGTGGAACATCAATGTTATACTTTTGCTTCATAATACCAGAAAATTTAACAGCGTGAAGACTGTCAATAATTTTCATATTTCCATCAGATTCAGCTGAACCTGTTTGAGAATTTAACAATAATTCACGAATCAAATCTTCATCCAATTTCCTCTTGTTAATAGACTCTAGGTGCTCATAAAGAGCTTCCAACTCTTCCTTATACTTCATTTCGCATCCAAATCTCTTAACTTTCATTGAAGAGGTAAGGAGATCGTTCTTCTCACTAAATGACTCAAATTCAATAATAAAGTCCTTTGGCACTTCGTATGGAAGAAGAGAGCAGTTCACAGATACTTTCTCAATTTCCTCACACAAAACCTTTTTAACCTTTTCATTGGTTTTCAGCAAGTCCTTCTCTGAATCACTCAAGAGCTCTTCACTTGATGAGTTGATGAGCCCTTCCTTGATTGCAAATTGTTTCAAAACCGTTTGATTAGGTACAATTACACCTACAAGGTAGCTTTTCGACACATTTCCATAAATGAAAGCTTGGAAGATGAATTTTGAGGTAGTCAGAGCATCTTCAATCTTTGCAGGTGCAATAAATTCTCCTTGACTCAATTTGAAAATATTCTTGAGTCTGTCAATAATTCTAATGTGTCTTGGACCTAGCTCCTCAACAATATCATTAGTATGCAACCATCCTTCCTCATCCAAAGCGTTTTTCGTAAGTTCTTCATTCTTGTAATATCCAATGAACATGGTTTTTGTTTTAACACAAAGTTCTCCTCTTGGATAAGGTTTGTCATTTGTGAAATAGTTCATGTCAGGTACGTCAACCAACTTGTACTCAACAGAGCTATGAAGTCTGTTATCATTCATGATACCTCCTGCTTCTGACATTCCAAAACCATCTGAAACGAAGCAATTAAAACATTTTCCAAGAAATTCTCTAACTTGTGGGCTTGAAGAGGCTCCTCCAATAATTATTGATTGTAAGCGACCACCCAACATGTTTCTAAAATCTTTCATTACTCTTTCTTCAAGTTCTCTCTCCGTTTTAGGTCTATCCTCATTTTGATTCGAAATACCTGAAAGCCAACTTGTCTTTTCCAATTCGTACACTTTTTTATACTCATCATAGAGTACATTATAAAGTCTTGGTGTTGAGGCAATGACAGTAGGTTTGACCTTTTGAATATCCTCAAAGATGTGAACAAAATCTCTGGTAAATATTCCCACTCTAGCACCATCACACATGGCCAAAAGGGTGTGTTTTCTGTCACTCATGTGAGCAAGAGGACAGAATGAAAATTGTACTTTTGGATTTTCAGCTCTGAAACCATGCATTTCTCTTCTCAGAGATTTGTCACTAACCATTATGCCCTTCGGCTGACCTGTCGATCCACTCGTGAAAACTAACGATAGAAGATCCTCATCTTTTTCTAGTCTATTCAAAATAAAGTCCTGGTGTTCCACATCAATCCACATCTTATTTGGATTATACTTGTTTTTTGGAGTGACGAGGATAGTCTCGTGATTTTCAAAGTGTTTTGGATATCTTTTTTTCTTAGGTTTGTTCTTTTCGTTCAAGTATTCACATAAGATTGATTTTCCCTTGTCAATAATCTCGTTCATTGGCAGAATTTCAATTTCTTGTTTACCACTGTTTGTTGTGAATTTACTCTTGGATTTTCCTTCATTATCATCCATTACTACAATATATTTTACAAAGTCCAATTGTTTTGTAATGCTGATGAAAAAATCGAGCATTTCTAAAGTACAAACGACAACCTGACTATCGGTCAGTTCAACAATATGTTTCGTCTCATCAAAAGTTTGGGCAAAGTGAATAGGAGCAGCCACAAATCCCTTGAAGAAACAAGCATAATCACACAAGTACCAATATAAATTATTCTTTCCACAAATGGATACAAATTGTCTCTTATTTTCCTCCCTCAAAGGTTTTAAAATTTCATCCAGTCCAACAGCAATACAACAAACCAAGTGGAATACTTGTTCATATCGAAGCCAATGATAAGGTCCGTCATCCTCTTTCAATATTCCAAAGCAAGGATTCATTGAATTTTCAATAAAACTCCGAAACAGTGTACTATTGACACGATCGGCCTCTGATCTTTGTTTGATTTCATGATAGTGATATTTTGTTGGTACAAAATATTCAAGATCCTCACAAAATGTTTCCAACCAGAGTTCTCTTTCCTTTTCTTCTGGTGTTTTTTCCTCATTGTCAACTTGTTGATGATTAGGAGATGCATTCTTCCTTCTCTTCTTACATTTATCCCAACACCAATCGTAACACTTCTCGCACAAATCAGTTCCCTTGTCATTGGTATTGGTATATCGGATTGTGTTTTCAATAACACCCAAACACATATTACAAATCCATCGATATGAAACCGATGTGACGGTGAAGTTGGTTGGTTTTTCCTCCACTTGCAGTTTTCCACGAGAGAATAGGGAGGTGATCTTGTTGAGCATTTTTTTATGAAGATGAAAGTTTGTGATTGTTGATGGCTCAAGGATGAACCAGATAATGTGTTATTGTGTTAATTTTGTGATTAGTATTGCCATCATGTAATACTAATATTATTGAGTTTAAATTTGAGTTGAATAAATTAAAGAATCCACATGAAGAGAATCAAACAAGTGGAGACAACAAGTGTTGTCCAAAAGATACTCGACAATGAGTACAGATACTTCTTAAAGGTGTGATTCAATCCATATACTTCCTGAATGAATGTGCTTACGGTTGTGAGGGAGCCACAAAATCCAACCGAGAATGCATCAATCCAATAAACAGCAACACCAGAGGTGAAACCTGAAACGTAGGCAGTACCTTGTAAAATAACCAAGATTAGAGAGCCAATGATATTGACAGCAAGTGTGAAAATTGGCATTTGGAATCTTTCAACAGCTTTAAATGTAATATTTAGCTTGCAAATTAAATATCTCAATAAACAGCCAAGAGGAGCAACGAGGAGAGTGAGGCAAAGACTTTGATCCAATGATTTTGAAACGTTCATAGCACCAAGCAGAACAATAAAAACTGAAATGACAGCCATCAAAACTACAAACAAATCAACAGCCATTTTGATTGCTGTTCTTGATTTCCATTTGGCATTTCTAATTTGTTGATACTCTTCCAGTAATTTTCTTTTGAATAATTCTCCATTACTCTCGGCAATATATTTAATTTCACCTTCTTCCAAGAGAATCTTTCTCTGATCCTCATTTGGAATTGGTTCTACAATATCTACATCTTCAGCCAATCCAGAAGCAACACTCGAAGATGCAATTGAATTAACACTATTTTGACTTGTCATTGTGACCTGTTGTGGCGCCTTTGCATTTCCAAATTTCTTCCTCAAAACAGGAATCACAAAACTCAAAATTGCATTTGTAATATCCTTCGCAATTACAAATGCAAAATAACAAGTTGTAAAACCAACTACTTGCTTACTCACAAACGACAAGACATCTCCCTTCATTAAACTAATTGCAGCATTCACTTGCCAACTTGAAAATGTTGTAATGCATCCACACATCCCAGTCGATAGTCCAGTATATATCCTCTTCTCAAACGACAATGTTCCATGAAAAACTCTATGCAGAAACAACTTGACCATTCTCTTCTTTGATTCCTCCATTCCTTCCAAAGATATTGCTGATGAATTATTACTCTTCACCATAATAGGAGTATTACTTTCACTACTACTACCATTATTATTATTATTAGTAACCTTATTCTTTTCCAATTCAACTAACAAGGCCTTCTCCTTCTCCTTCAACTCTTCCAAAGGCTTTTTAATAAAGTGCAAATGAATGACCATTAAAACTCCCATGATGAAGCAACCCACAATATTTGCATACAAATCGGAGAAGAATAAATCATCAATGGATTGAACGATATTACCATTGGATGATGTCGATGGATTCATAATATTGTTATTATTGCTATTATTATTGGAGGAGGAGAGGGAAGGCTTGTAGAGAGTGTCGGAGAGAAGAATTCGAATTAAAACACCAATCATGCAGAATACGATGAGGTAGGCAATGTAGAGTAAATGTTTGGATAAATTGATGGCAAATTTGAAATTTTCTTTGAGTAGTTGCATTGTCATTTTTTTTAAATTTTGTGTTAATTAATTAACTTAAATATTAAATACACAATATTATTAAATATTGTAAACAGTCAAGTCATGAAATCTGCATTTATTTTTCCTTAATAAACTTTGTAATCAAACATTAACATCTCTCTTTGCTCTTCCAAGTTCAACACGAACATCACCGAACCAAGTTCTTAATTGACCAAAAAAACAACTTTCAATACTTACTGTATCGAGAACTTCCTCAAACACATCAAACATAACACACAAGAAAAAAAATGGCTCCAAAACGCATCACACAATTCTCATCACTTCCCTACGAAATTTATCAACACATTTTATCGTTCGGAGTGAGTGATTCCGAATTATTGCTGAAAAAGAATTTTTCGAGTGGGAGTAGTGAAATTCAATCCTGTGTACGATATGTGGCTAATTTTCAATCATTGAATAGGAAGATTGCTAGTATGCCAGAGATGGAACGATATTTTGATAGATTTTGGTGGAATGTTTGGGAGATTTGGTTTGGAATTAATCCATCTTTGGAGAAGGAGTTTAGTTTATTGAGGGAGGAAATGATTCTAAAGAGAGAATTGAAGAGGAAAGTGCTGATGGCTGCATTTATAAAGTTTCACATTTGGAGAAGAATTAAAAATTTGAATGGAATTGATGAAACTAAAGTGGTAATGATTGGAAAGGGAGGAGTAGGTAAGAATTTAATAATTTTCTGTTAATAGGTTAATTATTTTGAAATAGGAAAGTCTGCAATGACAGTGAAATATATACAAGATTTCTTTATTGAACAATATGATCCAACAATAGAGGGTGTTTATAGAAAACAATTGTTGGTTGATGGTTTTCCTACATTATTTGAAGTTTTGGACTCGGCTGAACATGAATACAGTGTAAGTTCTTTAGAATAATGCCATTCTAAACTAATTAAATTTATCAAGTCCGCGAGAGATCATCATATGAGATATGGAGAGTGTTTCGTTCTTGTTTGTGATTTGGCAGATATTAATTCAGTGGAAGAAGCCGAACCACTTGTAGAACAATTAGTAAGAGTTAAGGACTTTGAGGAAAATAGCTTTCCAGTAGTATTTGCCTTAAATAAGGTCGATTTACTGAATGAAACAGATCGACCAATCACCATTGAGAAATTTACTAACCAAATTGCTACCCTCATTAAACAAACTCAATTGACCAATACTTTCATTATTGAAACAAGTGCCAAGACGGGAGAAAACATTACTCGAGTATATGAAGAATGTGCAAGACTAAAGAGATATGGATCAGTTGATAATCTAACACTCCTGAAAGAGGTTATTCAACACGATTCTGCATTCATTGAAACTTGTAAAAAGCAGAGAAAGTTGATGAAACAATCGAAAAATTGTTCTGTAATGTAAAAATGTTGCTTAATAAAATTGTAGATATATATTTGTTTCGAATAATTTATGAGATTTCAATCATGAATAGGTATTGCAAAGAAGAAATGGTACGCTCCTCACTTACTATTTCCCTTTCAACTAGGGTGGGATTTTGAGATTTTGTTCCAATTGACCTAATCACAAAATCATACCATTTAAACGGTTTGAAATTGGATTTCTTTTGAGATGTTTGTTTGACATTCAGCTCATTGAAAATATCAAAATCTTTTACCATTTTCACGAAAGAAAATTCTCCTTTTTGCAATCTTCTAAACATTCTTTCATCAACATGGCTCAATAAAGTACCAATTCGATTCTTATACTCCACAACTATGGAATTTTTCTCAAAAATCTCCAATTGATTCGTATAATTAACTTGATGCCATGTTGCATCAGCAAGTCCAAATCTTTTTGCAATTTTCAAAATATTCCAAAATATAAATTGTAAAATATTCATCTTTTTCTTTTCATTTCCAATAAGAGTTAAAACATTTGATGGAATTTGCAATTTTTCATTCATTGGAATGAAATAATTTCCAAATAATAATTCGATTCTTTCCCAATTTGGAAAATTGTTATTCTTAGGATCGAATATTGCATAATGGAATAGATCTCCTCTTTTAATCCAAGATAAATCAACTCCCAATGTTAGTGAGCAGTTCATTAAATAATTATTGGCCTTTCTAATAGAATTAATCTTTCTCTTTTTCGGATACAACAATCCACACATAGAATCATACGTATAACTAAAGCAATTATCTGTTCTCTTTACCAAAACTTGATTATTGTAAATGGAATTCAAAACTAAATGATACGGAACTTGAATTTGAAGATTTTTCGAACAAAACAAGAGATGAATTTGTGAGATTCCAATAGATTTCAAATTTTCTGCATAATTATTCAAAGGTTCTTGTAATCTGTGCAATCCAATCAGAGACAGAGTGATGCAGTATTTCTGAGTCAATTTTGAAATTGTTAATTTTCGAATATAATTATCCGAAATTATTTCTGCTTTAGTATTCAACTTTGCATGATTAGTTTCAATGACTAACCATTCCAAATTATCAAGATAATAAAATCTTTTCAACATTTCAATAGCAGATTTCGAATTTTCCAAATACGAATTTGTTCGAAACTTGATCCAATCCTCCTTTTCCACAAGTTTAAAGTCATCAAATTCTACCTCCTTTTTAACTAAATCAGTTCCGAAATAACCATATACTGTTGGTATTTTCGAATTACGAAACCTTTCCACTAACACTTGTTTCTGCATTCTTTCAATCTTTTCGAAACAAACCGAATTTATTCTCTTAAATTTCCGCTGATAGAAATAGGGAAGAAATGACACAATCTCACACAATAAATCCTCATTGATTTGACGCATTTTTTTTTTATTTATTGTTAAATTTTGATCAATTCTGAAATGCTTGAATTTCATTGTAAAACAATTACAAAAGATTTTTTCACTGTATTCTTGATCATGATTGGATAATCAAGTTCAGTGAATTTCCGAATACAATTACTAGGGAATAAATAATTCGATCTTTCATTAAGCTTCACTAAATTTCCTTATTTACAAGTAGAGGAAATATAGTTAATAAGGAAAGTAATTTTTATTTAAACCTTAATAAGAGAAGCAGATACAGTAGAAGCTTGATTGAGTCCACTGATAGCATACAATGTATGCCAACAATTGCTAGCTGGCCAAGTGAATACGAAACTTTGTCCATTATTAAGAGCTCCACTATTGATTACCTTTGTAGAATTATTACAATCCAAATTGAATGAAAGACGCAATTGACCACCTCCTGTTGTAATAGCAGTGAGATTGTACGATTGACCAGCAATTGGCTTGGCCCATTTCAACTTGGCAAAACCAGTTCCATTACTATTGGTTTGAGTAACACGAGCACTCTTAGATGGGAAAACTACAGCTTGTTTGTAAGTATCAAAAACTCCCAAAGCATCACCAGATTGCAATGTCCATGGTCCTCTCATTGACAACAAGTTTTGATTTTGTGTAAAAGTAACTGGTTGACCATCACCATTCAACCAACTGGAGGCACTAACAAGAGGACGTAAAGCAGCTCTAATAGTTTGCAATTCACTGGCTGCGGTGTTACTCCAACCACCAGGAGGATGCAATGAGTAATTGGCTCCAATTTCAACATAGATTGCATATGGAGTTCCATAATTTCTATCCACAACTCTGGCTCCATAAGTTTTCAAAGTTTCGGCAACTTTTCTAAGCTTTTGAGTGGTCAACTTGGAAACATTGAATGAGGAAGGGAGCATTAACAAACTACCTTCTGGAATTGCTCCAGAATTGGTTGTGGCAGCATCACTATCTGCAGAGGTGGCTGGGAAAACATAAGTATTACTTCCATTAGCAAGAGCATTGTAAGTTAGGGATAAAGCCAATGCATGTCTGTACATGATATCACCATCATCAACTTCGTGCTTTCTAATAATTCCTGCAGAGCTGACGATACCAACGGCACGAGCACCCTGATAGTAATGAGCTGGATCACCCCAACCAGTTCCATCCAAAGCAGCCCATCCATAGAGAGTAGCTCTCCAAACACCTGTTACATTCTTGAGTTGCCAGAATGAGTGAATAACCTTTGCAATTGGATCCTACAAAAAAAAATATTCGAAAGTTCAATATGTTAAATATGACAAGAAAAACTTACAAAAATTTCACAATGTCCATCAGATCCAGTTGCTGGAACTGTATTAGCTGGCCAACGTGGAATTACCATACTAGTAACAGATCCACCAATATCAACATTCTGAATACCAACAGTTGCTGAAGGTCCGTAAATGGTCATTGGTTGATCAGTTGCTGAGGCAATAAAGACACCAGTTGAGTAAGCACCTGCTTGGATAGCTGGGAAATAAATTGAAGTTGGAACTGTGACACCTGAAAGAATTGGGTTGACTGGACGACTATTCCACAATGAGTTGACTGAGAATGGTTTGTTGACCGTTCCCCATTGTGCTGCTACATAACTTGCAGCAGCGAGATAGCAAAGAGTAATAGCTAGGATTACTTTAAACATTTTGATTTTTTTTTGTTTCGAATAAGGTTTAGTTTGTTTAACAATGATCTTTTTAAAGGGTTTGGTTTGTTACAGGTTCGAATAGATTACGAGACATAACAAAGCACGTTCTAGTGTGGAATGTCAACTTGAATTAAAAAGTTTAGTGTATTCACAAATCATTATTCGAATTAGTATGTTGTCAATCATTGAAGAGCTCATGATATCTCGAACGGTGAATAAAAAGCGAAAACCATACATGAATTTCGCAATGTTAAATAATCCACGGTTGTGTTGGATTCGGCAATTTGTATAAAAAAGTTGTAAACTTTGCAATTCTCTTGAAAAAGCATTTGTAAATTTATCAAACCTTATCAAAGGTTTTTCAATGAACTGGAATGTACGTAGTATGAAAAGTTGTAGTCTCCCAGTTTATAATATCACGACTACGGTAGAATATTGTAATGGTTGAATTGAATTTATTAAAATTTTAATATTCAGTAATCGGATGGTGATTTCCAAGTAAAGTAGGTTGTAACAAGATGTTTCAACGATTGTAAACTTGAATTGACTTTTGAAGAAGGTATCAAGAATTTACAAAATGATCCAAATATCAAGTTCACGAATTTAAAGAAACAACTTTCAATACTTTACAATAAATTAATTGTATTATTAATATAAATTAAAGTTCAAAAAAAAAATGACACAACACCAAACCAAAGGACTTTTTCGAGTTCATCATCATTCAAATGTCATTTCTGTCTTGACACAAGTATTGTTACATTTAGATCCAATCATGAATAGATACAATAATTATAACATTAATTCACATTCGTCTAAAATAGAAAGTGAAATGTTGCAAGCTTTTGATTCAATTGGAAGAAAAGTGTGGAATAATCAAGAATTGGAAATTGATATTTCGGAATTTTATTCTTTTTTCTCATTGGAAACTTGGGACAAATTTATTGATCTTGAAGAAATGTTTCAATTTACAATAACAAATTGTAAACTATTGAATCAATACTTTAATACAACTGAGAAACGAACAACCACTTTTGAAATTTGTCCTACCTGCCAAATAGATTATGGAAAGAAGGAGAATATTTCAAATTATTGTACATTTATCTATTCGAAAGATAAATGGAAACAATTTAGAGAAACTAATGAGATTTATCAAGATCCAATTCCATTCATAAAGGGATACCACTGTACAAGTTGTTATTCATTCCTTGAGATTATGCTGAAATCGACTATAATTGAAGCTCCTGAAATATTGCTCTTGAAATTACACTCTTCAATTGAGAATAACTATTTTTTATACGAATTTAATGTCCATGAACATGTTAAATTATTAGTAGACGAATCGATTGACAATTCACATCATCAGGAATATGAGCTAGTTGCCGTAGTTGACTATTATAGAGAAAGAGGAATTTATGGAGGATTTTTCAAAAATCCAATGAATAGAAGGTGGTATCAAATGAATGCTCATTCCATTGATGACTTCCCCAAACTGGTTGAAGATTTGAGTTGTATCAATTCAACCTCAAATTTTATTCTATTCTTCCAGAAAACAGTGGAAAGGAAACCAATTTATTGGAAATCTGTGTTATCCAATCGATTTGTATACTGGGACGTTTCATTTAGCTTCACTGAATAGTGTGATATTTAAAGATTAATTCCAAATTTAACTATTCATGTTTTTGTGCCGTTTCCATTTAGGAAGTAACCAAAAAGTAAATTAACCAAACATTTTCACATCTATTTAAATGTTACCATATTATCACTCCTCTGTACAAATCAATTTCAAAAAATCAAATCCATTTCGAATCCACACAAACGAAACTATTTATTCACAAAAATGCAAACCAGAAGTCATGATAAGAACCTCAATCAAGATGAGGAAAATCTCGAAGTTCGTGACATGAAGCATGGCTATGTTGCTGGCGATTCATCAGAGACCCTACCAGGTGGTAGAGAGAAGGGACCTCGTGAACACTTTGAAGAAATCTGCCGAGATGAAAACTATGAAATTGAAAAGCATCATACCAATGTCAGAGGTGACTATACTGTCGTCTTTAAGCACAAGTATGGTGGTAAGGATCAAACTTTCCCTAATATTTCAAGAGAGAGAATTGAGAATATGCCATCAAGAGTTAAGGATGTCATCTTGAAGAAGAAGTCAATCTATTAAGGATGTGTATGACAAATCTATCATATGATTAGTTAGAATAATATTAAAATCTTTGTATATATAAATTGTAAATAAATAATTCAAATAATTGTGAGAATTTTTTATTCTATAATTTCAAATTTGGAAAGCCAATTTGTTTTTCAAAATGTTTGATCCATTCCAAACACTGTTAATATCCATATGTCAATTCCTTGAATAATTGGCCTCCTATCTTATTCCTTATAAACAGCAATTGCTTCAATTTCAACTTTGGCCTTCTTTGGTAATCCAGAAGCTGCATAACAAACTCTTGCAGGCTTATTGTCACCAGAGAAATCTGAATCAATGAGAGAGTCAATTGATCAATCAAATAGACAATGACAACAACTTACATTCACTGTAAACTTCATTCACAGCTTGGAAATCATTAATATCAGTCAATAAAACAGTTGTTTTCACAACATCTTTCAAAGTACAACAAGACAATATATTAAATTTCACACAATTCCAATTCACATATAAAATGTTAATCATTACAAAAAGGTCAACAAAATATTACTCACCTCACCATCAATTCCCAAACATCCACTAATATAAAAGTTACCATTTGCCTTCACACCTTGTGAATAAGGTCCAATAGCTCTCGGTGCCTTCTTTGCACTATTCACATAGACAATGGATGAATCATCAACACCTGAAGTGGAGGAAGAACTCGAAGCAGATGCCAAATTCATCTGACAACTCATGGAAAAGTAACACTTCACCTCAGCAGAAGTACTCGTTACCATTGAATTTCCAATCATCATCTCTCCTGGGGCACTACTTGGCAAAACCTTATATGAATGAGGATTCGACCGAGTGGTGATATTCTTATATTTAGCCAATCGATTGACTTGTTTAGTAGGAACCTTTCTAAACATTTTCGTTAGTGTGTGTAATTGTTATTGTTTGTTAAAGTTAGTAAAATTCTTCTCCTCCGAAAGTAGTATGAAAAAATTGCTCAAATTGATTGAATCCCAAATGCAAAAGTTTGATTAGAGAGAGAAGAGGTTGTTGCTTTCTTTTTTTGTGTTGTTTTGTGAGTGAGCAAATTGATTTGGTTTGCATGGAGGTAAAATTTATCATGTCGGTGAATTTGATTGAATCAAGCAAGGCGCCAAAACCAATCAAATTGAACACAAATGTGAGGAATTGAGGTTCAAGTGGAGAGACGAATTGCAAGTGGAATCATTGAAGAATTGCACAATGCTTGAATACATTCATAGGTATTAATAATATATCTTTCTTAATATCTTTAAAAGTGAATAAGTGAATGGTTCGTTATTGGAAAAAAGTGGTTTCACAAGATCTTGTGAAAAATTCCATTTGGAAAGAGTTGTTTATGGTGCGAAAATGTGTGTTGATTCTCAATCTCAAAAAGGAGAAAAATAGATGATCACCACATTGTTTTTGCACATAGGTATTTGATATAAATTAATAATTTTCTTGATGCTCTCTGCTTCATTACTGAGTGAGGAGGAATTTTTTGTGAAGTGAAATATAATTAGTAAGGATATTTACATGGTCTCGTGGTTGGTGTAATGTAAGCACTGGTGGTTAAACGGAGAGGTGGCAATTGGAAGCTAATTGAAAATTCCATTTCCATCATAAAGGCAGTATATCCCAAAGGTGGATTCTTGACAACGACACGATAGTTCATTCCTGAGGCATCTAATGGTGTGACTGGGGTGAATGTGAAGGCCTTTCCAATAGTGGTAATTCTGAAATCTCTTGCATTTGGATTGGTGGCTTGCCACAATTTAACAACAGTTGGTCTAGTTCCATTGGTAATTCTCAAATCGAGTTGGAGTCCAACGGAGTGAACATCTTGACTGGAGAATTCATAGTTTGGAAGATTAATACCATAGAGATGGGCATAATAATCGACTAAAACAGCATCCATCATATCACTGCCTTCCATATTGTGTCCAGTATTTGGCAGGTATTTCAATCTCTTTTCACCAACAAGATGAGGATAACCATTTGGAGACAAGTCTGGCCAGAAGAATTCATCTCCCATACTATAGATCAAGAACTTGTTAATGTTGGCATATCTTTCAGTGTAGACGAGTGGATCCAAAATTCCAGCCAATGCATCAAATTCCTTAGTATTCAACCGGGTGACAATTCCTTGATCCATGTAAGAATCCATTGCTTCAGGGAATTTACACAAACTATCATAAGTTTCCATCAAATTTTTCTTCAAATCCAAAACAGCAATAACCATAGGAATGATATTTTTCACTCTCTTATCAACAGCAGCAAGAAGCCAAGTGGTCCAACCCTTCTTACTAGTTCCTTGAACTGTGAATTGTTCAATGGTGTGTCCTAATTCTTTCTTTGCAAAGTCTTGAATAGTATCCAATCCCTTTTGTCCAGCTCTTGTCATTGGCAAGTGAGCAATCCAATAAGGTTTACTAGTGTCATTCATGAAATGTCTCCAAGTAAATGCAACAATTCCGTCCTCAGCTCTTTCCTCTCTTTTTGGATCAGCTTCAAATACAATTGCTTGATTAGGAACTTGCATCATTTCAGTAACAATTGTACCAGTAGCAACAGCAATCTTGGTCAAATCAGCAAGATCATCCAAATTTGGAGTCTTGTCAGTATTTCTCTTTCCAATCATCCACAACAGTCCTTCCTTCTTATCTCTATTCAAATTATGTGGTACAATTACCAACATGAAATGCCACCAAACATATCGTCCATTCAAAATATCTTTTGGTGAAAGCCACACTTGACTTGTCATGTTCAACACATAGGTAGTAGCAGCAAGCCCATGCATGGTATTGATCAATCGATATGAATAATTATTATCCGGATAAGATTCCATAAATTCATCCAAGGCTGTTTTTTTAAAAGATTGATCAGCCTTTGAAGATGAAACCTTCCCAACACGAGAATTTACTTTTTCTCCTCTGATCAATTTCATAGAAGGAACAAGACTTCCCTCCACTACTGATGATGACGATGTATTAATCAACAGCAATACAATACTGTACATCAGCACAACACTACCCAACAACAACAAGACTCGCATCATTTTTGAAGATTCATTTCCAGTACTCGATAACGAACGCGAAAATTCCCTCCTCTCAAATTGTGGCATTTTTTTAAGGTCGAAAAAGCAAGTGAAAATAAGATGTGAATTTCTTGGAAGGTTCATTGAAAAAAATCAAACTGCCTATTTGAAGCAACTGTTAAATGGGTCAGAGAGTTTTTGAAAGTTACACAGACTGTGTGAAAAAAAGCAACATTTTGATGTGAATGAAGTGAATTTAGAGAGAGAATGAAATCCTTACATGTGTGCAACATCTTGAATACTTGACACTTGTTTCTTGGAATAGATCGAATTTCAAGAAGTGAACTAACAGAAAGTGACCTAAATGATTCACAAATAATATTTTCAAGATTTTGTTTGGGGAGACCAAATCGTTTAAATATCCAATGGTGTGAAATCTTTCAAAAATTCACTACCGAATTCTCTAACAGATTCCAAATCCTCCAAGTCCAACTTCATCACAACCAATTTACCAACAGTATTTCCAAGATGATGGTTTGCTATTGAGCATTTTGCTGAATCGGACGGACCATCCATCATATCTGATTGTTCATGATGAAAGATCTAAGGTAACATAATTATTTCCTATTTCCCTGGTAGTAAGAAGAAAGAGTAGGGGTTATCTGATGAATTTGTATATGAAAGTAGTAACAAGCTTGATATTCATTACTACTGATGTCTATCAACAAAATTTCACATTGCTGATGATGTTTACATATCA